ACTTATACTTTTGGGTTTACATCCATTTGCAACAGGTGTGTTGGTTATCATAGCGATGCTGATGCTCCGAGCAGAAGACTTGCTAAACCACTTATATTCTGTAGAACAGAGAGTGACTGTCCCATGGAAAATGGCTATGCCCGCCCTGTTGAGGGAATCTATGTACTTGTTGACATGCAAAAGATGGAGGTGATTGAGTTTGAAGACCGTAAGTTTGTTCCCTTACCTCTGGCTGATCCTTTGAGGAATTATTCTCCTGGAGAAACAAGAGGTGGTGTTGATCGAAGTGATGTGAAACCCTTACAGATTGTTCAGCCTGAAGGTCCAAGCTTTCGAGTTAATGGGTGCTTTGTAGAGTGGCAGAAGGTAGGTGTGGATTTCTTCAATCAGTTATATTTCTTGCTAAATTCAGAAACTCACCTGAATGGTTTTCTTGTTTGTCTGTTGTTGACAGTGGAATTTCCGTATTGGTTTCACCCCAAAGGAGGGTTTGGTTATATACTCTGTTGCATATGTTGATGGTAGTCGAGGACGAAGGCCTGTTGCTCATAGATTGAGTTTCGTGGAGATGGTTGTGCCTTATGGGGATCCAAATGATCCACATTACCGGAAAAATGCTTTTGATGCAGGGGAAGACGGCCTTGGAAAAAATGCACATTCATTGAAGAAGGTTTAATAATTATTCTGTGTACTCTTTATATTTCAACATTTTGGAATTTATATAGTGCTCTTTTTTCTAATAAAGTTTAAATCTGTACAAAAAAATTTGCTGTTATAGGGATGTGATTGTTTGGGCTATATCAAATACTTTGACGCTCACTTTACAAATTTCACTGGAGGTGTTGAAACAATTGAAAATTGTGTCTGTTTGCATGAAGAGGATCATGGGATTTTATGGAAGCATCAAGATTGGAGAACAGGTTTGGCAGAAGTTCGAAGGTCTAGGCGGCTAACAGTGTCTTTCATATGCACTGTTGCTAACTATGAGTATGGATTTTACTGGCACTTTTATCAGGCAAGTCTAGTGGCAGTTTCATGTATGCTAAATGCTCTTGCCAAGATGGAATGTCTACTATATCATTTTAAAACTGAAAAGGGACTTCTGTTGGAAAAGTTAATAGAAGTCTTAGGGGGCATTTAGGGAATTTGTCTAATGAACTTTAGCTGTGTTTCATTAAGTAAGTTGTATGCATCTTTTTCCTCTCTCAACCCTAGTGTAAAACTGCAATCAATATTTTTCTTGGGAAGTTTTTATGTTGGTTGAACTTTGTATGCTTCTTGAAGATTTTGCTTGACTTGTTAGTTATTGGTCACTACAGGATGGAAAGATTGAAGCTGAAGTTAAGCTTACAGGAATTCTTAGCTTAGGAGCATTGCAGCCTGGAGAATTTCGAAAATATGGTACTATGATTGCCCCAGGTTTGTATGCACCAGTTCATCAACACTTCTTTGTTGCTCGTATGGACATGGCTGTTGATTGCAAACCTGGTGAAGCTTTCAATCAGGTATGTTGCCTTGAATTTTGCAGATCATTATTTGCTGAGTTCCTAAAATCTTCACTATAATCTATAGCATAATCTCTACTATTTCCTAGGTTGTTGAGGTTAATGCAAAAGTCGAGGAGGCTGGGGAAAATAATGTTCACAATAACGCATTCTATGCAGAAGAGACACTGCTTAAAACTGAACTGCAAGCAACGCGTGATTGTAACCCCTTCACAGCTCGCCATTGGATTGTAAGACTACTTATATTTGGTGTCAAATTGGTTGTATGTGTTGCTTCTTTGGGTTAACTGTTCTATTCCTATCTTTCAAAAAAAAAAAACTGTTCTATTCCTAGTATGCCTTGGGAGTTCCTTATTATCAGTGGTGAATTTCGACTCTTTGATTTTATACATAAGTGCTTTCATGTACTGCTTAGAAATACTTATCTTATATGTTCTCCAGAAATTTGTAGTGAGTTATTTTTGTTTTTCCTTCCTCACAAAGTGAGTCTAGTTTTCTTATTTTTCCATGCTTTCTAGTAATCACTATGAACTCTCTCCTTGTCTCCCTCTGTGTGTGTATTTCTGTTTCCATTGGTTATTGTGGAAAATCTCTTCTGTCATCTGGTTTTCAAACTCTTGATTTAGTTTTCATCCATTAATTTGCTAACTTAAAAATATTCAATGAACTCGTTATTTTTCTGGAAAAAATGTTGCTTTTATTTTCTTGTTGATTGTGAGTTTTTTTAGTCCTCAGCTAACCTTAAAACGCATGTATTTCTGGAAAACATTATAGCTTATAGCTGTGAATTTTCTTTTTGACGTGTAAATTTTGGTTTTATTGGTATCACTATTTGCTTATAGCTTCATAAGGGCTGCATCCTGCATGTTGTTTTAGTGGTTGATTGCTCTAAGAACGAACATATTTACTGTTGTACTAAGTATCTTATGGGTGAGCTTCAACATACAAATTAGATCTGCTTAGATTGGGGGTTTGGACTCTGCTTATCCTTTACCAGAAATAAAAGCAATAGTGATCTGTCTTAGAGTTTATGTTTTAAATTGTTTATCATTTGTGAGCTGTGTGTTTGAGTATGCTGGTGGAGGTTAAAGATGTCTGGTATGTGACTTGTTCTCCTTTATATCTAAAATTGTAATGCCGCAAGCTCATTCATGCCTGCCCTTTTATCTTATAAATAAGAAATTTATGTTCACGTGCTCAATTTTAATTGTGAACGCATATGTTGCTGTAACATACTCCAGGTGAGGAATACTAGAACAGTAAACAGGACTGGTCAATTGACTGGCTACAAACTTGTACCTGGTTCGAACTGTCTACCTCTAGCTGGCTCTGAGGCTAAGTTTTTAAGAAGAGCTGCTTTCTTGAAGCATAACCTTTGGGTTACACGGTATGCTTCTGATGAGATGTTTCCTGGAGGAGAGTTTCCTAATCAAAATCCTCGTGCTGGTGAAGGATTGGCTACATGGGTTAAGCAGGATCGTCCCCTAGAGGAAACTGACATAGTTCTCTGGTTGGTTGAATTGTTCTTTCTTTTCCATTTATTATTTTGTTATAGAAGCAACAATTTTACACACTTTGTGCCACACAATTGCTTGCATAAAAACCATTGACGCAATCTCAAGCAATTATCCATGTCGAGTTAATGATGAAGAACATGGTTTGTAATTTTCTTGAAAAATCTTCATGATGGCCGGCCTGGGGACACTTGTAGTTTCGGGGTTTTGAATGTTTTCAAAATCTTCCAACAAACAAATTAAAAAACATTTTTCTGTTAATCGGTTTTACTTTGACTGACCATTCTGAGTTTAGATTTGTTTGAATGTTATCATTTCATTGATGATTAAATAAATGCATTCACTGCAGGTATGTTTTCGGAATTACCCATGTCCCTCGATTGGAAGACTGGCCTGTTATGCCAGTGGAGCGCATTGGTTTCATGCTAATGGTAACCATTTCTGCTTTCACCACCAAAAAACTTAAACCCTTTCTGTTAATAAAATTACGTTGATATATCGGTGATCATTGTTTGTGATTGCAGCCGCATGGATTCTTTAACTGCTCTCCTGCTGTAGATGTCCCGCCCAATGCCTGCGAATTGGATTCCAAAGACAACGAAATTAAAGAAAACGTGGTACCCAAGTCTATTCAGAATGGTCTGCTGGCAAAACTCTGAAGAGAGAGGTGCTACATCTCTAAACACATTCCCCCTTCTTACTCTTGGAACATTCCATCCCTGAGTGTCTGTAGAATTTCCATCTATAAACCGTCTGCTAAATTTGTTCCTGTTTCTGAGTGTCTGTTCTATGTGTACAAGGATATGTTTGAAATTACCATTGTGAATGGAAGGTTTGCTTTGAATATTCATTGTTTTAGTCTACACATGGAAGAATGTTCCACCATGTTCTGTAAGAACATTTTCTTGGCTTTTTTTTTTTGTTTAATTCTTTTAAAAATGAAATCCAGTCATGTCTTTTTCTTTTTAAATTTTCTCGTGCTGCTTTTCTGGTGAAGTTGAAAGGCAAAGCACGCAAGCACATGCATACTGTGAAGAAAGAAATGTCGCGGAGCCCTGATGAAAAAGCTCGTCTCAGCTGATTTGGGTTCTTTATCTCTTCTTTTGCCTTTAGGGAAAAAAAATACTTTTCAACTTTTCCTTCTTTATTTGCATTTGATATTTGATTTATTATTTGGTATATGATCGGTGTCTAAAGTTTCAATTTTTTTAGTTAAATTTTTTTTCTTTTTTTTAAATAAAAAAAGTGAAGAGTATTCTGATAATTTTAAATGAAATTAATTGTGTAACTATTTACTCGATAAGAACAAATTATAAATTGTTGTGTAAAAACAATTAAAATCACAAAAAACAATAATAGAATCTGTAATTAGGAAAAAAAAATGAAACTTTGATCATAAGAATCAAATAACATGATTTTCTTTAGATTGATGTTTCATTTAATTCAAGGATTTTAAAATAGCTTTATTCGATTACTGAAATAAAAACTTGTGAGTTTATATTTATTGTACCGGGAATGTATAAATTCGATGTATTATCAGTAAATAAATATTTATAATTTTAAAAAATATTTATTTTAAATAATTTTTAAAGTTGTATATATTTATTTATGAAATAATAGTTTGTGATTATTATTATTATTACATGCCGATAGTGTATGAGTACTATATGCTAACCATGTATCAAATATTAACTCGAGACTTATTTATGTTATTATTATTATTATTATAAATTATTTTTAAAATTTAATTGTAATAATAAACTCATCAAAAAGTAATTTTTTTATCTTGCAAAAAGTTTTGTAAAACAAATAAAATGAGTAGCCCTCAAATTTGGGCTTCTGGGCAATTAAAAAATATTAAATCTTATTAAATGGGCCAATACTTAATGACGTAAAGGCCCAGCCCAGGCCAACCCAGTTCCCTTCTTCTCCATTTTCCCTCCGCGCCAATCCCGAGTTCAGTCTGGGACCAAAACGACGATGGTCTCGCGATACAGAGGCTAGCCTTACTTGTCTCTACTGAAGAGGGAGGGGCTGCAGTTAGGGTTAGGTACTAGAATGATGAGTGAAGATACAGGTGAGTCCTCAGGAAGGCAAGAGCAATTTTGTGGGATGGGAAGGTTCGGGTTGAGCATTTCACCTTTGATCATGAAGCTTCAAGAAAAGAGTTGGCTCGTGCCATTATCATGCACGAATATCCCTTATCCATTGTCGAGGATGTTGGATTCAGGAAGTATTCAGCTACCCTCCAACCTCTATTCGAGATGGGCTCTCGCAAGACTCTTGAGGACGATATCCTTAAAATTTATGATTTCGAGAAGGCAAAATTGAGAAATGTGATTGAAGCCTTGAATACCCGTGCTGCAATCACTACGGAAATGTGGACTTCAAAGGAAAAGAAAGGGTACATGTCTGTCATTGCTCATTACATTGACGACTCTTGGGTGTTGCAAAGTCGTATGTTGAGGTAATTGGTTTTAGTTCTTGTTTTTCATCCTAATCTATGACTATTTATCAGTTTCTGTGTGATTTAATTGTTTTGTTGGAAACTATGTAGGTTCATTTATGTGCCTGTACCTCACACTATGGATGTTCTTGCGCAAAATTTGATGGATGCTTTGACGGGATGGAACATAGAGACTAAACTTTCCGCTATCACAGTTGAGAATTGCACTTCTGGTGATTGTATGCTTTCTATTATAGTGGATAAGTTGAGTAGTTCATTCTTACTTGATGGGAAAATTGTTCATATGAGATGTTTTGCACACGTATTGGATCTTGTTGTGAAAGATGGGTTGTCTTTGGTAGAAAATGCAATTGAGAGAATACGTGATAGTGTATCATTTTGGTCTGCCACTCCATCAAGAGTGGACAATTTTGAAGCTGTGGCTCGTCAAGCAAAGATTTCAAGTTTGAACAAGTTGGGTCTTGATTGTAAAACCTGTTGGAAGTCAACTTATTTGATGCTTAAAACAGCCATGTGGTACAAAGACCTTTTCCCGAAATTAATACTTTGGGATGAACACTACACTTGTGTACCTACTGATGATGATTGGAAGATGGCCAAGAATATTGCTGAAAAGTTGGAAATCTTTTGTAATGCGGCTAAGTTGTTTTCTGAACAAAGTTTCCTATAGCAAATTGTTACTTTATGAAAATTTGACAACTAAGAATTGCATAGGTGAAATGGGTGAAAGATGATGATGTGGTTATTAGTTCAATGGCAATTAAAATGTATGAAAAGTTCGAGAAGTATTGGAATGTTATTCATGTTGTTTTGGCTGTGGCAGCTGTGTTGGATCCTCGGTATAAATTGAAAGCAGTGGAGTTTTGTTTTCGTCGAATTTAAGGTGATAATGCACTTCTTGAAATTGAGAAAGTGAAGAGAACTTGTTATGAATTGCTTCACGAGTACCAATGTAAATCGCATGTTTCTCCTACTTCTTCCCAAGCATCATCTCTTCAAGTTTCAAATGGTTGTACTTTTGACTTGGAGGACATACCTTCTGAGTTGATTGCTTTTCTTAGTGAGTCTTCTACTAATGTGCATGTCGGTTGTGAGTTGGATCATTACTTGGATGAACCTACTTTGCCATGGACTCGAGATTTTGATATTCTTAGTTGGTGGAAGACAATGGGGATAAGGTTTCCTACTTTGCAAAAGATTGCTAAAGATTTTCTTGCTATCCCTGTTTCCACTGTTTCATCTGATTCGACCTTTGGTACTAGTAGGAGGAAAGCGGTTCGTCTTCATCGAAGTAGGCTACATCCCAACACTTTGGAGGCATTGATGTGCTCACATGATTGGTTGTGGAAGAGCAGTGAAGTAGAAGGTAATTAGATATCTAAGTTTACATCAATACTCTAACGAAATGAAAAATATCATCTCACATGAAACTTTTTCAAATCTTTTTTTATGTGTAGATTCTTGTTCATCAGCAGATTCCAATTGCTTGTGCATTGCTGATGAAGATGAGGAGGGCTGAGAATTTTTCCGAAATCGGACATGGAATGAAATAGAAGGTAAACAAATTCCAGTTTATGAGTAGGTTCAAATTGTTAATGCTAGAATGAGATGAGAGCCTTGAGCCTTCTTTGGATAATTGAAATTGCTAATTACTTAGTGTTATTTATCTATAAGTTCCTATCATCATATATGCAAACTTTGTCTACCTTTTATCTCTGCATGGGATTTTAATTATATGCCTATCCTTTCATGGTTTTTATTTGCCTAAATCATTTTATGGTTGATATTTATTATTGATATTTTATTTCATAATTAATTAAATGGGTTTTTTTTGGGTAAAATTGGTGAGTTTACCATGGTGAATTTTCAGCTTGGGTCAAGTCGGATCCGGGTTTTTGAATCAATATCCACTTAATAAACTAGTTCAGATAATTAACGAATTTCATTAAACAGTTGTGAATACTTATGATAGTTTTAATCGGTTTCGATTAGGTTTTGGATGAATAATATGAAATAAGTGGGTACTTTATTTGCCGTCATTCTTGTTTAGGAAAAATAACCTTTCAAATTTTTCTTCATTGTTCATGCAAAAAAAAAAAAATTCTTATTTTTCCTTTATTCACCTTCAAATGAAAAAAGTTAAGGCAAACTGTAAACGACTGGAGTAAGTTTCTTAAATTTACTCTTTATTTATTGTACTAGTAGGCAAACGTAGGCCATTGAAAGATTGAATCACGTAAAAAAATTAAACTTTTTCATTTCGTCAATAAATTTAAAAGTTAATAAATTTAAAAAATAAATATTCATAATTTTAAGAATATTTATCTTAAAATTTTTTTGAAATTTTATTTTTACATACATATTCATGAGAGGATTTATATTTGATGTAGTCATCAAAATGTGTCATCTTATTAATGAGATAAAATTAAAAAGTTTATGGATTTAAAATTAAATATTATGCAATTGACAGTGTATTTAATATAAATTCAATTTTTATTTATTTAGTAACAAGCTCATCAGGTAATATGTTATTATTTTGTAAATATTTTTGTAAAGAAATAAAGCAAAATGCCTTCAAATTTGGGCTTGAAAGCAAGTATTTAATCTTACAAAATGGGCCAATGCTTATTGACCCAAAGGCCCAGCCCAAGTAATTGCCCTAAACTAGTTCTTATTCATTACGTCAGTATCGCAAATCCTCTTCCTCTTCTTCTAAACTGCTAAACCCCGCCGACCCACCCTCCGCTTCCCTCCCAACATTTCTCTGCGTGCAGGCTCCGATCAAAACGACGGTAGCCTCACGATACAGAGGTTAGCCTTACTCTTCTCTCTCTGTATCCCTTCCTTGTCTTCTTTTTTTCTTTCTTTTTTTTAAACTCCTATTTTGTGCTATTTTTTCTTCATTTTTTTAGGGTTTATGTACTGAAGAGAGAGGGGATTGGAAATCAAAATTATTATTTTTTACATATAATTAAGATTCGCTTAGATGATTATAATTAGCATGAATTTCTTCGAATTTTCTTTTTTTTTTTTAACTAATCTGGAATGATAAACCCTAAACTGGGAAAACTAGAATTTGAGAAACGGAAGGGTCATTATGCTTAATTCTGTTCTCATGCTATTTGTCAGCTTAAGAATCTTTTAACTTGTTTAGCTTGCAATGCTATTAAGCTATTGGTAATTAGGTGATTGTTCTCTTTTATGACATGATTTTCACAATGTTGCGACTGTCATTTTCTTTTCAGAGAATTGAATTTGTGTCTTAATTTGGGAATAAGATGAGATTAGAGAAGTGCTGGTTTTGTTCCTCCACCGTATATCCAGGGCATGGTATTCAATTTGTTCGCAATGATGCCAAAGTAAGCGATTCTATTTTTATGTTCTACGGATTTATTTTTCCTCGTTTTATTTCGTTTCCATTTGAATGTTATATTTCTTTGTAGTTTCTTTATTTGATTGTTCTTTTTATCCATGTTGTCATATAATACTACATATTTAAGCTCATTTTGCTTTATATGCTCGTGCTATGTGTCAGTAGTCTGAGTTTATATGTGATAGTATATGTTTAGCAGTGTCAAGATGTATGCCGGTTTTAATCAAAATTTGCTGTTAAGATCATGCCAGATGAGAGGCATCAATTAATCATTTAACCTATGCTCCCTACTTTATGTTGTTCTTGCTGTTTGGCGTGTCTCTAGTTTCTGATGGTCCAACCTTTTGCAGATTTTCCGTTTCTGTAGATCCAAATGCCACAAGAACTTCAAGATGAAGAGGAATCCTCGCAAAGTGAAATGGACCAAGGCCTATAGGCGTTTGCACGGAAAGGACATGACACAGGTAAAGATGGGCTTATCTAGTTTTATTGTACTTTTTATTGCGTTTCTGCTATGCTTAAACAAGTACAACTGTATGATATCTGTTTCTGTAATGTTCTTTTTCCAGGATTCAACATTTGAGTTTGAGAGGAAGCGTAACAGGCCAGAGAGATATGATAGAAACATTGCAGAGAATACCCTGAAGGCCATTAAAAAGATTGCGAAAATCAGATCAGACAGGTCTTCTGACCACATCAAAAACAGGTTGGTTTCCTTTCATTAAATGTTAAAAGATATTGCAAAATGCTGTTTGCTAAATGACCCATGTTTTAATCTCTTTTCAGGCTTAAGACAGGCAAAATCCAAAGGCAGAAAGAAGCAAGAAAGCAATTGGAGCAGGACATCCACTTGGTCAAAGCCCCGCTTGCACTTGCACAAGACTCATCTCTTCGCCTTCCAAAAATCAAAGTCAATGTCTCCCAAACGCAGACAGAAGAGAATCAGCAAATGGAAGAGTGAATCCGGGTCTGTTCTACCCCCACCTAGTTTTCATCCATCTTGTTATGCTTGCAACTCCTTATTTAGGTATCAAGTGTTTTGTGCTGTGTGGATACGAATGCTATCCGAAATTTTCAATAGCATATCTAAATATTATAGATTACTCTCTTTCCATCTAGTTCAATCATAGTAACTCATCAAAAACTAATTGTTGTATCCGTGTTTTGCCTATTACATTGATATCCTGATCTGGACTTTTGTCTTTTTCCAAGTTATGTGTATGTCTGTCCTGGTGGAGTGGGGGTGGTGGGGTTTTTCATTTTCCCTGCATTGATGCTGGTCTTAGGAGTTTAGGTCACAAAGTACAAGTAGGGTTGAGTGGGTGCATTGCTTGGACCTCCATGGCTCAATTGTATGAGGCGGAGAAGCTTGTGACGAGACAGCCAAAGCGTATTGCCCACAGAAATTTAGGTGCAATGCTACAACTTGTCCCAATTGGTCGTTACGTCTCAAATTTTGAACTTTGTCCTTTTACGTGATTTTATGATTGCGCTTTTTGGATTCAATGCCTGTAATTGCGTGATTATTGACAGATGTCACGTCGATAGACCATTTGCCGGATGTTACTGGCCCGATGGACACAAGTAGTAGTGACGGGAATTATTCAGTTTAAATCGAAATAAATTATTTTGGTTTTTTTTTTAATTTTAGTATTAGTAGGTTAAAAAATGTAATTTATTTTGTTATATTTGTGTGATTTTTGGTGTTTAAAAGTTATAATAAATCAATCGAAATATTGATCATTAAATTTTTAAATATATTATATATAAATAGTGGTAATAATTTTTAAATACATGTAAAGAATAGCTCAAATATATATTTGAAAATATAGTAAAAAAGCACTTGTCATTCAGTTATTCTGGATAAATTTTTATTATTGTTGGAGGGAGGTATCTTAAAAAACACTTGTCAGTGACTAGACTAAGCACGCCGCTCTAAGACAAGACTATGAATTGGGACATCCACTACATAGCCGGAGCACTTTACAGTTGCAGCCTGTCAAACCATTGCTAGCTTTATACCAGGTATCACAGAATATTTTATTTATTTAATTTATTAATAAATTACTAGTACGTGATGAATATTTTAATAAAATATGTTAATTATATTTTCAACTTTTTAGATATTTATTGACTTTAACCCAAGAATGAGATGCCAAAGTTTGAACGGAAGCTTGATTATTTATTTATTTATTTGCCAACAAAGTTAAACAATGCTGAGACTTTGGTTGAAAATATTGCTGATTGTCCGACCTTTGTCTCAAATTTAAAACGCAGGCTTTGCTTTCCGTTACATATGTTGTAGGACTTGATTGGATTGTATATTAAAATAATTTATATGAGTTTAAATAGAATTTGAATTCTAAACCTATTCCTGGTCACAAGTTTGAATGTAGTTTAAAGAATGGTCATAAATATCCAAAATTTATATATTATTTTTTATTATAAATTTGTTGTAATTAATGAAATACTTTTTGAATTTGATTTTAAATTTTAATTTATTTTTATGAATTAATTTAATTTTAATAATATACATAAAAATTAATTTTAAACTAAATTTTTATTTTGAATTTAGATTTTAAAAAAAAATTTATAATTAAGGAAGAGGGATTTGGGTGCAAGTTCAAAATTGTTTTAATTATTAATAATTGTGTTGAATATTAAATAAAAAATTTCAATCAAGTTCTTATATAAATAATTAAATTATTTTAATTTAATTTGAATTCAAATATTTCAAAATCAACCTTTTTTTTTCTATATGGTCAACACCTAATTTCCGATTCACTGTTTCTAGCTAATTTCCTCTCCTAGACTCCCACCTAAAAAATAATTTAAAAATTAAAATAATACAAAATATGTACTAAAGGAAATAATAAATTAGATATATAAAACAAAGAATGAGATAAATAGACCGGAACCTTCCGTTTTCAATCTCGGCCCCGTGCTGCACCATCACCTTACGACAAAATTATTCTCTAAATTCAGTTTCCACAGCACAGTTGCAGTAGTACTACTTGATTTGCCTCGTCTTCCGAGTTACAGACTCAGTTCTTCACTACCCAAACTCACCCACAAAAGGTTGAGAGTAAGATATAACCATAAATATGGCCGCCGCCTCTGCTGCTACAGCAACGGCAGCTGCAGAGGAAGAGAAAACGAAAACCCTTAAACAAGAACTCTCTCTCCCAATCATCTTAGCGGACAGAGTCATCAAATCGGCTCAAGAAGCCGAGTCTTCCAAGTTCGAATGCGCCGAACTGGCCAAACAAGTCGACCGTCTCTCCCAGATGCTCCGCTCCTTCGTTCGTCTGTCCGCCACCGCCAACGCCACCGTCTACGACCGTCCCGTCCGCCGCATCGCCTCCGACATCACTAAGACACTCGAACGTGCCCTCTCCCTAACTCGCAAGTGT